TTAGATTCAAAATCATTAATTGCCATTTTTATAAAAATATGACATGAATAAAATTATTATTATAAAAAGTTTAATAAATGCAAAATTTCAAGTTTTGACACGCAAGCTAGCTAGCTCTCGTAGCGTGAAAAAATTAATTTATGTATTTTAATACATTATGCAATATATGTATAACGAAAAAAAACTTTATATATTGTTTATTCATCTACAATACTCTTTTCATGAGTAGTATAACTTGATTTGTATTTAATTGTATGACAAATAAGTGACAATTTTTGTATGTAACAAATGCCCGTAGCTAAAAAGATACCATATCACAAAAACCACTCACATATATTCTTCAAATAATAATTAACGTTAAAAGTATATGAAAAGACAAATATATATCTCATTTTAAATATTTATACCGTTTATATGGTGTTATTTTTCATTAGGTTCAAGTAGTTTTATATGCCCCTATCTTTTTATTTTTAAAATAATAATTTTAGAAAGAGATTTTAATAATATAGCTTTCTTCTAGTTTTGAACAATGTGAAAAACACTATAAGTACAATATTTGAAACCTCTCAAATGGTACACACTTTCCTAAGCTATTATTACTGAGTATTTCTCATCAGAACAACTTAATAATATACACTACTTCTATAGCTTTATACACTACTATTAGTCCGACGAGATAGTCAAGGAGCGCTTATTTTATTTCAGACTAGCGACTCACCCTCGCTTCACTAGGGCGTGGAATAGATATAACTTGTTTTCCCGTAGAAACGAGATAATCTCCCATGATAAAAAGTAGCCTATTTCAGACGTGAAAGGAGGTTAAACAAACAAATAAATTCATCGTCAAATTGTATATCGTAGAAAGAGAGAGTGTCAAATATACAATTGCACTCAAATAGTTTACATTAATTGTAAGGTTGCGTTCATTATTGTAATGTAGTAGTAAGGAAAAAGAAAAATGTGATTTTTACGTTTTTCCGTGATTTTTTTCTAATTTTTCTTTTCATAAAAACCTTCTCCGATGAATATTTGAAAAAAATAATTAGGCTAATTAGTACAGCCGTTATAGAGTTTTGAGCTTAGCAACATTTTGCCATTCATTTTTATTTATATAGATATAGACGAGCGTCTGTGTATTCCTATTATAGTGTCGTATAATATGTTTGACTTTGTGTTTAAGCTCTTACATATACCTACCATATTTTATAAAACATATGAGTATTTTTTTGCATTTTATTCTCCACTGTGTCTGACAAAAAGTAAAAAAACAATCTTACTTTTTCAACATATATTTATATTAAAATATTGATATTATCGATAGCACATATCGACATGTGTCAATGTCTAACTGGTCTTTGATGAGAGTTCAAAATGTCAAATTTGACAGCTCATAGGTATTATTTGTAAATAAACATAATTTATATAATAAAACTATTGAAATACGCTACAAACAATTGAAAATATGAAATTATATTAGTTTTTCATTAGTGATTCACCTTCATGAGGCACCAAAGCAGAGAATAAAAGTCAAAATTCATATTATATAATGGCGATTTATTTTACGAATTTTATACATTAAAATTCGTTGGACCAAAAAAACTATTTTTATAACGTGATTATACACTTATTGGTATCTCAATAAGTGTATAATCACGTCGCAAAAAAATCTAACAATAAATATTCATACGTTTACGGCACAAATTCACTAGTTTAAATATTTTAAATTACACAAAAACAATAGCGAAAACGCGCGCTTCAGTTGAAATTTAAACAATTTTTGATGCGTTTGTTTTTAATTTTGTCAGCATTTAATTAAAATTTTATTGCATTATATAGTTAATGAAACTTCTAAAGTTTGCGTGTATCACTCATTGAGCATAAAATAAACTAATTTCGTCGTGTAATAAGTGATAAAAGTGCAGCGGGCGAGGTGGTGCCTATAGGCACCAGCGGGGTTTGACGGTAACGCCGGAAGTGGTGCCTATAGGTACCAGCGGGGTTCAAGTGGTTAATTTTTATAATTTGTTGTCTGACAATAAGAAGTAAGAAATAAGAATTAAGATGTGTTTATGGATGACAAATAAAATAAGTGATGTAAGTTGTATGTTACCATTAACCAGTAACCACTACGTTTGACATCGCTGTCAAATCACAAATGTGACATATGTACAGGGCTATCACATTTATTATACCTACTCCCCATTATTTTTTACATTACTATAGATATATATACTTTTTTTTTCGAAATAAATATTTCTCAAAAGATTATATTGTCGAATGTTAAAGCATATCAATATTTGTTTTTACCTTTATTACAAAAGATTTTTTGATGAAAATAAAACTTGGAGGTAGCTAAACAAACTATCACAATAAAGTTTATGGAAATATAGACGCATCTGTCTTACTTTCTTACAGTGTTATATAAAGTACTCGTGGCTCACCCTCACTTCACTAGGGTTCACCCTAGAAAAGTAAAAACTAATCTATGCCACGGGAACCGTACATTTTTCCGGGATAAAAAGTAGCCTATGTGTTATTCTGATTCATGAGCTATATTATTGCAAAGTTTAATTAAAATCTATTAAGTAGATTTTTCCGTGAAAGACTAACAAACTTTCATACATCAATACATCCAAACCATACATTCTCACAAACTTTCGCGTTTATAATATTAGTATAGATTTAAGAACTTTGCAGGCGTATCCGTAAACCTCGAATCTTTTAGTAACAGGATTGAAGATTTATAAATTCTATGCAAGCAAGCTTATAAATATTTCGAGAATCCCTTTGCCATTCTATAAATATATTTTATTTTATCCCTATAAATATGTACATTTTTGAGAGCATAATACAAAGAATGAATAATACATATTACAAAAAAATAAAAATTTTTCTTTATTTGTCATATTTTAATCAAGATCGCTACTGGCAATTTTCTTTAACTGCGGTCTGCAGCTGCCGAAAATTAAGATGCTAAAGTATTTGAAAAAAAGGGAATGTAGATGTAAAATAAATAAAATATAGCTGAAGTAATGTGTTATTAATAGAGCATGCATGTAACGGAACGTCGTAAATGAAAATAATTAAATGAAAATAGACTCTATGTTGAAGCACAAAAGCCTTACCGTTTACTCTATCAAAGTTGTGGCCTTCAAACTTAGCGAAAATGAATAGATATGATATATGCCTGCAAAAGGTTATAACTTGTATAAATTTCCAAATAAATATTGTTTTATTTGTAGTTTTATATAAAATGATCTGTACATATTCTTACATTTTAGTATTAGTGCATTCTAGTACGTATTTGATCGATGATTCATAGAATGTGGAACATTGTTGAACAAATAAGTTATGTACTTGTGTTAAAGTTTGTAAGAGAAAACAAGGTTAGTTATTACTTTGTCATAATTTTATTTGAAGTGTTTCAATGCCTGTTATCTAAACTTTGTGTTATAATAATAAATTTAGTTCATAATTAAAATGCTACATTTAAATATTGAAGTTAACTAAAGTCGGTACCTAATAAATAATATTATAAATTATTGTCAGTCGGTGACTTAATGTGATAATTGCGGCAAAGTCAACAAGAATTTTGATAGGGTTATTGATATGACTCATCAGCTAGTCGTTAGAGCTAATCATTTTTAACATATAAATTTTAACTGTAGTGATAAATGATAATATTTTATAACTTTTGTCTTTTTTTAATGCACTTTTCCCTAGAATAATTTCGAGTCCGACAATCTGAAGGCTAATTTTAATGTCTGTCCTCTCATGATATCATCAATTATTGCGGTTGTATTAGTCTAATAAGAATCTTGTTAGCCAACTTACTTAATAAACACAACATATTGAGTACAAGTTATATAATATATTCCAAAGAGGAAAGATTTTTTGTAACTTTATATAATGTATTTTGGATCTGCGTATATTGTTTCGGCGAAATTGCGCACTGAGGTCTAAGATTGCAATTTTTCTGGGAATACTGAATACTCATAGGCTATCTTTATCTCAGAAAATTCCTCAGTCAACAACATTTTTCGGCCTTTGGCACGCGAAAACGTAATAGGTACCTACATAAAAACAGAAGTAAGGGTAATCAGTAAGCTTAACGTGCACGAACGGCAGTTAATACGAGTGCCTAGTGAGTAGTGACGATTGACGAAGACGAACTATATCATATTATACTGGCGACTCACCGTCGCTCCGCTCCGATTCGTCCCTAGTTACGTTTTAACGTTTAGTACAGATTTCTCAGAGATGAGATATTTTCCCGCACTAAAACGTATCCTATGTATATGTTGACCTGGATAATCAGCTATCATCATTCATCATGCCAGATTTCATCAAAGTCCCTCCAGTGGTTTTTCCGTGATGCGGTCACAGACAGACAGACAAAAATTCTAAAAACTAGATTCGGCCTCAGCATCGATAATAATGTCTATTTCAATAACATTTTCCAAAAAAATATTTAATGTACAGATTCTACTCAGTTACAATTTTATCATAAAATGTAGGTATAGATGATTGAATCTACATATTCATATTCTATAAAAAAAATTCAGATAGCAGGCATACAGCATAATAACTTGACTTGAAATAAAAAAGTACAAATTAACTTTTTTTAATTACAATTATAATTTATTAACATCCTCAAATGATAGTCATTGGTTTTTATGTTTATCGAAATTATTCTCTTCCTATTTGTATTTTTTATATATTATTTAAAAATTTAGTTTCCACGTGCTACGTTTTAAACGGTTGATTGGATTTAAAATTCAACATCATGTATTTAAACTTCACTTTAATAGATTTAATTTAACTTCAAACTAAACCAAAGGATTCCATATAGTAAGAGTCACGTAAGTATAGGTTTTGCAGACTAAGTTAATAAAACCTCAAACAGTAATTGTTATTATTTTTCATTTACAAGTAGGGACAATGAATTATTAAATATTTTTTATTATTGTTTCAGGTGAACATATATTTTAATACTGATAATGACGGACAATAATAAAAAACGCGGTAATAGTTTCCGCAAGATATTTCCGAATATTTTTTTTTCACATAAGACTAAAGAAAAATCTTCAACGAAAGATACAAAAAGTAGTAACAGCAATAGTAATTGTTATCAAAATCCACAAAGTGCACTCGAACGTTACTCTGAAAGAATACAAGATCATGATGATCGTATATATGAAAACCTTTCACCAGTTTCATTTGTTCAAAATAACAATGACTTCAATAATATAGATATTTTAAGCAATCATTCTTCTAGCAGCACTTTAGTGTCAGAAAATGTTAAAAATATACACCAAACACACACTGTTGTGGAACCTAATGATAGTGAAGACACAAAATGTTTTGCCAGGCCGATGGTTCCGCCTAGGCCTCAACAGGAGTCACATGTATCACAATGCCAAGACCAATTACCTGATGTTTATTATCATTCCTTAGAAAAACTTGCCGATAAAATATCACCCTTAGAAGAAATTGAAATATATAAAGCTTCCAAAGTACAGGCTGATCCCGCATCTGTTGGTGCAGAAATAAAGAAAGTTAGCACAAAATTTCTCATTTCACCAAAAAAAGAAGCAGAAGTACGTAAAATTCAACCAATTCGCGCTCGAAGTTTGTCTCCGCATAAGGATAAATCAAAAAATGCCGAACACGTTTCTGATAAAGTGAATACAATTAGTGTAGAAAAGCCATACAATTATTCGGCACCGACTTCGCCTATAGCAGTAGGGCATAAAATGCCCAATATGCCTACAAGGGCATCTCCATATGAGCATGTTAAAAGAACAATGATTGAAGAAGAAGAAAAGAGGAATTCGATGAATAGATCAGACGTTCGCAAAAAATCTACAATGTCCCCCACACATTTTACAAGTAATGCAAGGCTCCAAATGCCACCAAAACAAAACATAAGTAAAGAAAAAACTCGTCAGAGAGTGGAAGCCTTTTACTGGCAAAAAATAAAAGAACTAAAAGAAAAAGAAGATGAATATCTTTTAAGACAATCAATAAACAGTTCAATGAGTGGGTCTAAAACTGATAACGAATATTATTCAAATTGTAGCACACCGAATTCATTAGTTGTGGATCCCAGAATTAACAGTTTATCTCGCTGTATGGACATAAATGGTAACATAAATCGAGCTGCAAATTTGGCTTTACCTTTTACTAGAGGAGCCCCAGAACGACGAACAGATTCATATATTAACAACAAAAATATACAATCGGATGCTGATGTTGTATATAGGTATTCAGAAAAATATCAAAATGATAAGCCTCATTGGCCAATATTTCGGCGAGGCTCTCTTACTCAACATAGTACTGTGCAGTCTCAACAACCTAAAAGAGTTAGCTTTGAGAGAAAAAGAGTATCAAATATTACGGTGCAACAAAAACCTGGAAGACTAGTTTTTGAAGGTGATAAGAATAACTACAGAATAGTGCGTAGCAATGAAAAACATGATATGGATAACAGCCATTCAAGGAACCCACCAGTGCCACCTATCCGTACGACTAGTGTCGTGAATACTGACAGTAGTTATTCTACGTTTACTAGGAATTATAAAAATACTGTAAGTTCTTCGAGTGTAAATCGTTCAGCGTGTTGTGAATCTGAGAGTGGATCCGAGGCTAGCGAGATTCAGCACATAATGGATAACCATCATTATAAAGGTAAGCACTATTAAAAATTTTAAGCTAGTTTTAACTTTTATTATATTTAAAAATTAAAAATGAATATATGACAGTGAATGTTTCACAAAAGATTTTTATACCAATGGCCGATACCCTGCTTAAATATAGATGTACACCTTTCGCTGTATTGAATTTTTTGAAATGCTAGGAGCATTTTGTTAAGTCACAGAATGATAGTATATCGCTTGTTTGTGGTCAATTTTATTAAAACATGAAGTCTCATATTATGCGTCTCATGCACTGCGATCATAGACAGATGAACGCGGGATGAATGGGCTCATTCATCTCAGCATAGACACGATCTAAGCAATTTATGGATTAAAATCTTTCTTTTTCACAAAATAACTACAATATTACTCTTATCTATCTTCAATAAACCATCTTGTTACATATCTTATATTACTATAGAATGACATGTGTTTTGTATGAAATTTTTAATGATAAGCAATCAATTTGAAATATATTTTCAAATCATAATATTATTTTTTTCAACATTTTAAAAGCAAGACTCTTATTTTGTTTTTAATAAAGTCCGTTTTATAAATACAAAATGTAAATTCTTTGATTCGTAAATCACTGTGGTTTCTTGTTTTATTTTTATGTAATTTCTAGTTATTCGATTATGAATATTCTCCCTATAAAGCTACGCCTGGGTTATTTTTTATCTTGGTATGTTAACTAGGTTTGTGCATTTACTTGTAAAGTATACATATTGTAATTTTCCTTAAGGATGCGTGGAGTATATAGCTTGAGTGAAACGAGACCGCTAATGACGAATATGCTTAAATACTAGTTGGCTTTCGTTACAATGAACAGTCGTCTATTAAACACCATTTTGTGGAAACCTATTTATAAACAAAAAATCTTTTAATAAAGTTTCACTCATAGGCTGAATGAGTCAGATGTAGAGTGAACACGTGCTACTTTTGAAGACTACGTAATACTTGTTTCTCAATCTCATTCACTGGGAGCGTTAATTGGTTGATTATGTAGGATATCTTAAAGTTATACCTATGACTATTTATTTTTATTAATTAATCTTATATAAATTACATTTTACATTGTATTAAACTTAAGACATTCTGTTATATTTGTTAGTTTTTGGTTTGTCGAAATGAGGTTAGTTCATATTTTTTACTAACATAACTTACACGAGAGGAACGAGTATTTAACTCGTAGAAATGTATCTCCAAAATTTATATTTGGGTCGGTATTTTTAGCTTTAACTTTAATTATTATATTAAAAAAAACCCTAGGGAATCCTTTGTAATGTAACACTTGGCATTAAAATACAAAGTTTACTAATATTAGCCATTCTTCTATTGAAATATAAAGTTTTTCAAAACTTTCATGCAACAATCTTTACGATATAAATGAAGCTTTAATTTTTTTGTTCGTATCACAAAGCGTATTGCGGTTGTTTATCCCCAGTAAAAATAAATGAGAATTGCTGTTCTCGTGGTTTGCACAATGCACGGAGTACGACTATTATATTTGCCGTTGCTAGCGTATGGCTAAATTGAAATAGTATAAACCAAAAAGCAAAAAAGTATTATCCTGACGATCACAATATTACAGTGGTAACTGGAAATAAAACTTGACTATTGCCTTAGTTTTGAAACGTTAATTTACACAAGAAGAGGAAGTTATTATTACGTAATATTTTTTTCAAATTATTATGTTTTTCTTTATATTATCTTATTAATATACCTATATAAAATTCTATCTTCATTTTATTCAGATACGTGATAAGGATTTATCTCCTGACTAAAAACAATATTATTCACTTGAAATTTAGTTCAACAAAAGTTCAAAACATAGAACAATCGTATAATATGAAATGAAATAAGTAGGTAATTTTATCTTCATCGATCTCATTCTGTTAAAGGTAATTATTTTAATTATATTTAATTATCTCAAATTTCTAAAATATACGAGTTATCTAATACTATATTATATTCTATACTGATGTTGGTTTTTCTGTATTCAATATTTATTATATTAGGTACTTACTGCACTAATTATTAAACACATTGACAATACCGATTATTGTATTAAATTATTTTAATCATTTTCAGACAGGCTTAACATTTTCGACATATTTTTTTTTCTACTTTCTCTATGTTCTCAGCATGAAGAATAACATATTAGTCGTCTCCATAAAGTTTTGTCCATAATATTTTACGTGTCAACTCAAAATTATATAAAGTTCACTAACTCAATGAACTAAAATAAACGACAATGTTTATGGTATTTTTCTATGGAAAAGCTAAAACAATTTCAGAAAACAGCACCATCTTTTAATAAATAGCTGAAACTCTATTACGCTTGTTGCGAGTGTCATTGGAGAGGTGGCGTTAAATATAATTAATGCGTACTACTTTTTACCTAGTCTCCGACTGCATAATACTGATATTCCTTCGTCAACTTGTTTTCATCTTTTTAGTTAGCTTTTATGCAGTCGGTTTTTTTTAATTTTATAGTATATTTATTTGCTTATACTGTCCCTTTTACTAAATACAAGTATAATAAATACCTTCACGATAAACATAAATAGAATACCTTGATAATATAATAAATATTGAATACTGAAATCATTATAGGATACTGTATTAGATCACACATACGTTTTAGAAATTTGAGATAATTAAAATAATTACTTTTAAAAGAATAAGATCGATGAAAATACATTAAAAATATATATTATTTCATATCATTTTCCAAATTTAAAAGGACTTGATAAGAATTAGAAATACTTCTTAAAAAGAACTCTATAATATTTGAAAAACATACGTTACGAAGGTACCTACCAATTACCATGTATGTACGACTTACTAAAAGCGAGGTCGCTTCGCTCGGGTGCGTCCCTAGAAACGTACTATTTTTTTTCAGCAGAACCCTAATTCTTTTTCTAAAATAAAAGTAGCCTAAATTACTCCTTATAACAGCACTTATCTGCGAGTGAAAGTCCCGTCAAAATCAGTCCAGCCGTTTCGGAATTAGCCGGAACAAATAGACAGACAAACAAAAAGTTTAAAAAATGTGTTTTTCTTATATGTACCGTATATAATTTCATATGCATTTAGTAAAAAGCCCTTATTTGACATTACAAACAGACACTCAATTTTATTTATCTGCATAGATAATACTACTATAATTAAGGATTCATTATTTACTGTAAATTTTGTTTTAAAAGAATTAGGTTCTAATTAGGCAGAAATTTATTAAATAAGAATCAAAAAAATATTAATTTTTTGAAATTAAAAATTATATAGACATTACATGTAAATTAATATTACATAGGTACATATTAAATTATTAATTTAGATATTCCTTTATAATTAAGTCTTTATCCATCAAATAGATATTTGTAAAATGGTACGATGCAAGATTTGTTGATAGATAGCATTATACGAGTATAATACAGAGTTACTCTGCGTTAGTTGCCGGCGTGCAGAGCGCCGCAAGTGACGTCCTGGAAACGCATCTCATTTGTTTAGGTTTTGTATAATATATACTAAATTCCTTGTTTTTATATTGAGTATGATATAAATTTTACTTTTATTTTATTTTTGCATTTGGGTAACACATTTATAATTTTTTATTTAATATAATTTTATGTAAATAAATTGCCTACGTCGCTCGTTAAAATCTTTTTCGACTCAAGCGGCCAATGGGTTTTGGGCACTCTATTTAATATCTTCAGTACTATTTTGGATTGGCTGGGACTTCCGTATGAAACCAAAAATCGGAACTGTCTTTAGAGTTCCAGAAGGCATCAGCAGAACAACAACCGCGCAAGGTTGATGCCCGCATCGATCGTGCGACAAATGCGCGGTGGTCCAATTTAGTTAACGCCGCGCACGGATCAGATCTAACTTCTCTCTGTATATAGCGAAAAATTTCATATCAGTTTTAAAGAGGGCGTCTGAGGGCGCACACGGCGCCCCCACATGTCGCGATCGCACCTACAATGCGCCGACGACGATCTACCGGCTTCCAAACACCAATAACTGTGATAACAAACACCAAAAATTAGGTAGACACTACACGAACGTCATTAAAGATCTGCTGCGCTGGTTTAAAAACGTGGCCTGTTGTTTGTTTTGCGTCTGTGGCCATGGGTGTGGTTTAATGGCATTTACGCTAACGTATCTACCGGGTGTGTGGGGGTGTGTGGGGTGGGGGTGGGGGGAGAGGCGAGTGGCCACGTGATGTATTACTCGAGCGATACGCCGGTCAACCCTGAAAGAGTGCCGGTGCATTCTGCCGATCTGCGCAATGCAACTCAAAAGTAAAAACTTTAACCGCCATGCTTCTATAACCAACCTGACGTCTAAATGAGCGCGAAACTAGACTGTATTGTATGAATAGGAGTTATAATAGTAAATTACATGCTTCGCAGCATTAAAAATATTTTTATTTGCAGCGTGCCATTAAATTTTGTGTCGTATCACAAGGAAATTAAATTTGATTTAAAGCAATGTTTCCGATTTAGCATTTATTCATCGGTTTTGCTGTATGATAATATTATTTTATGTTCATATATTCTGGAGGGAAGTAAATTGTTTTATTATAACTTTTAATACTTTTCACCACACCTATAGACTAATTAGATAAAATTGAGGCGATGTAAGGGGAAAATCGGATTCGGGTATGTACTTTGTTGGATTCTACAAGTTCAAAATTTTATAAATATATCATTTCAATATTCAACTTGCTATATGCAATCAATAATGTACTAGAGTAGACATTAGTATCTTATATTATCTAGCGTTTATATATTATTTTTCAGCGGGAGATAAAGGAGGAATACGTAGTATTACGAAGAAATAAAAATCGTCCATAAAGTTTGTGGACGATTTTTGTTTCTTGGGCTAGTAGAAATCAGAAGATTATTGAATTGCACACTTTTTAGCATGTTATTTTAGCCCATCACACCTTAATCTAACGTACTGAACGCTATTTTTAAAAACTAGATACATTTTCACTACGACTTTACTCCACTTTGCTTTACTTTTTCACTTTGTATTTTTCCATAGTCTTCACTTAGGTTCAGAATTCGACTGATCTCTTGACGCACTGCCGGCCTTTTTATATGCAATTATAACAAAGGACATTCTAGTATTCGAAAATTCGAATTGTTTTTTGGAAAATGTTTTTGTCCCACTCTTACACACGGCAATTTACAATTAACTGTTTTTATCGTTGAGAATTATGTGTCGACAACTGTCTTAGGATGTATAAAGTATGCTTCAGACGTGCCATTTTAAATTATTATTTTTGATGTAATGACATTACACACTCCATTACGCGACACTGCCCTCTCCTAATGGCCTAAGAGCCTGTGAACGCCAGACCTTCGTCATTTTATAAAAGATGAAAGTTTGTCAGCGCATGCTCCCAACACAGATAAGAACGATGGACCATTATGAAGTTCAGACTATGGTGGCTTTGGCAGGTACACGGTACTAAAGGTGTGTAAAATACCGATCTAAATTTGTCAAATAATAAAGTGTGATTTTTTTGGTATTACCTTCAGAATATTATTAAAAATCACGTCATTCAATGCCAGACACTTAACATCGTGGCAAACCCTTGCCAGACACCCTTTTCATGAAATCATAATTCTACTTACGTTATAGTATAAAAGCTGATTTTTATATATAATACTTGGGTAATAATTAGATGATTTATAAAACTGCTAGCATAGCATTTATTACACACCATCAAAAATAAAGCCAATTCTTAGCGCTTCAAATTTGGTGACCATTTGCAAAAGTTTATTAGAAATACCTCCCAACTTGTTTGGAACATTTTTCATGGTGTGTAATAAATGCTATGCTAGCAGTCTTATAAATCATCTAATTATTACCCAAGTATTATAGATAAAAATCAGCTTTTATACTATAACGTAAGTAGAATTATGATTTCATGAAAAGGGTGTCTGGCAAGGGTTTGCCACGATATTAAGTGTCTGGCATAGAATGACGTGATTTTTAATAATATTCTGAAGGTAATACCAAAAAATCACACTTAATTATTTGACGAATTTAGATCGGTATTTTACACACCTTTAGTACCGTGTACCTGCCAAAGCCACCATAGCCTGAACTTCATAATGGCCCATCGTTCTTATCTGTGTTGGGAGCATGCGCTGACAAACTTTCAGCCTTTATAAAATGACGAAGGTCTGGCGTTCACGGGCTCTTCCTCTATAAGACATGCTCATCTCGAGCATCGTCGTTATTTTGCCGTACACACGTAGTTATTTCACTGTGAAAATCTACTGTTCATTCGCCGTGTGTAGATACTAGATATGGTCGTCAGTGTTGTATGGATCACTGTGGAAGCTTGTCGGCATACATGGCGGCGCTACTGCTCGGCGCCGCCGTCGTTTGCGCCGTGTCTGCCCCTTGGCGTGCCGCGTCTACGTACGGTGTGATTTTTATCAGTGTTGTATTGCAGTCTATGCGAGTGTGTAGACGTTTCCGGATATTTTCACGGTGGCAATCGTTTTCGGGACAGTTTATATACGCTGACTTTGTTTTAGGAGTAAAATGAACATAAATCAAGAATTAACTACATTGATTCAAGAAAGCCTATAATATTGGATAAAACGACGGTACTGCGGTGATTATAATCAGTTGATTACAATCTTGGCATTTAATATTTATACTTATAATTTAAGTTTATTAATAATCTTAATATAACAATTATTATAATCAGTTGATTCTTGACAAGTGCATGAAATGCGTCAAATTCCTCCCTTTTTTCTAAAATCGGATGTATCAAAATTCAAAACCTTCTTTTCCTTTGTTTTTGAGTTTACTATATATGTAAAAGCAATGGTAATCTTTTTCTTTAAGAGGATTCATGGCGCAAAAAAGCGCTAATAGGCCGTACGTGACCGTTGTCTCGTCCGGTGATGTTGCCGTGTTATAATATACAAGCTAGCACGGTTTCTTAACAGTACGGCTAAGACGCCGGACGGTAAAGAAACCGTGTCGTGAAAAACAGGCCTTACCCGGTCTTCGCGACGTACGTTGCTTGAGGAAATTGACATCGTTGATCTTCGTTATTACCCTATAGGGTCCCTCCCAACTGGGCTGTAATTTTGAGGATCTTCCTTTGCGCTTCAATAGGTAATGAAACTACACCAATGATCCTTTCTCAAAGCTCGTCTCTGTCGCTTTTTGCTCGTTGGTCGTAACGCATTTTCATAGGTTCGGTTCCTTGGAGTCCTGCCTCTCATATCTTCTAATGAACATCAATAATATCTTCGTTCATCTTCATTCGTAGGTCACAGTTCAGTCAAACTTATAGTGTTCTTCACAAGTGTCATAATCTTACGACAAGTCATCGTGTTATGTGTCTTATTGGAATTTCCTTTTCCATTTCCACGGGCAAGTGTATTTTCATGCCCCCGAAAACGATGTACGAAAATCAATCTTACTCTTGTGCACAACAATCCAGCGCTTTTACACTTATATACTAAACGTATATTAGCGAGTAATAAAGAGTGTTGTACGATCGCCACTTAAGTCATCTATTACACATCAGGAAGGCAATGGAAATTTGATGGCAATATCAAGAGGTCCCGATAGGGCTGGTATATCGCATCCTTATTAAGGACACCTTGACGAATATGTTTTAGATTTTGAATCGCAACACCAAATCACCTTTCGTCATAAGAGAAAGCATCCGGATAACGATCTTGCCGCGTAATGTGAAATCTCCCAAGTTAGTATTAAGACAATTCTAACGGATATGGCCAAAACTGAAACCGAAAAGTTGAATAGAATATCCCAAGATGTTTCATCAATAAAAGAAGATATTAGTCAGATTAAGGCTACAACAGATTATTTATCCACAGAACGGAATGAATTAAAACGACAATTGGCTTATATTTCAGATTTTAAAGCTACTATTGAAAAGAAAGTAGAGACCATTAAAAATAAAACTCTATCCCTAAAGCCGAACACCACTGCCCAGCAACAACTTCAACAATCTTTTTTGTTACGAAGATTTTGTATACGAGATTCAAGAGCGACTACAAACAGAAAAGAACTTAATACTACTAGGAATCGTAGAAATACAATCTACACGTTTATAAGTGCGACGTAATCATGATTTTAAAGAGGTGAAGAGGTGACAAGAGAAATACATTTACACTGCACTGAATGTCATTCCAAGAAATTTTAATAGTTCTCATTGTGGATAGATTAAGTCAAAAATTACTTTGAAAACATTTTCAAATACAGTTCATATCGCATACGCATTCAACCACGATGCCCCGATGGTAGGCCTGCCGAAGCACAACAGACCACAGCAACCATGGGGTTGCTTTAACAGACCACTCTGCTATCAGAGAAGTAACTCTGAGGTAGACTGCCTCCCAGTGCGTTTCTTAGCTTCGCGCCCTGCTGGATTGCCGGACGCTAATCAGCCCCCACGATAAGATGAACGCACATGGTTTTTTTATAGAAAAAAGGGGCAAACGAGCATACAATCCACCTGATGGTAAGTGGCTATCACCACTAGAGGAGTTGCGAATGCGTTGCCGGCCTTTAAGGGACCTTAAGACGAAGCTCTTGAAGACCCCCATGTTATAGCGCTTAGGGAAAACCTCAGGAGGAAGATCAATCCACTTTTTGCACGTGCGAGCTTAGCTTGGAAGATGCTTGCTCGGCCAGTATAATAGGCATCGACTCTATTGTCATCTGCATAGGAATGAGTGTGTTAGTTAGTAACATATCGTTGATATGCAGAATAAACAGTGTAGGCGATAGCACTAAGCCTTGAGGTTCGCCAGCGTTAATCTGTACAGTGTCGGAGCATATACAGTCAATGATGACTTTTATGCTGCGTCCAGAAAGAAAGCTAGCGACCTATTAGCACAGTCTTTCGGGAAGTCCGTATGATGGCAGCTTCGATAGAAGCGCCTTATGCCAGACCCGATCGAAGGCCTTTGCGTAATCAAGGCTAAGTGCTAACGTCTCCCTCTTACTTTTAATTATTTTTTTATACCACGTCGGTGGCAATCAGGCATGCGGCCCGCCTGATGGTAAGCGGTTACCGCAGCCTATGGACGCCTGCAACACCTGGGGCATCACATGTGCGTTGCCGACCCTTTAAGAACCTATTTACTCCCCTTTTGAAGGACCCCATACTGTAGCCCTCTGGGAAAACCTCGGCAGGGAGTTCATTCCACAGCGAGATGGTCCGTGGGAGAAAATTCCTCTGAAACCGAACTGTACGGGATCATTTGGGGTGCAATGTGTGAGCATGACCTCGCTGTCGATGGCGAGCGGTGCGGTGATAGAAAGTGGCCGTGGGCATCATTTCGATCAATTCTTCGGAACACAACCCATTGTACAAACGATAGAGCACACATAGGGACGCAAAATCTCTTCTTAGACTTAGGGGCTCTATATCGCTTGTGAGTATTGGATCGTCGACAATTTCAATAGTGCTTGAAGAGTCTTTTTGTTGAGACCTGTATAGGCTCGCATAAATACGGGTGTGGCCACCGTAGTCCACGCGCACCCACAATATCGAGAGGTCCCTGTCCTCTAAATGAAGGAGACGGCGACAGCAGATATCCTCCCGAACGAACATGCATACACCGGCACGTCTTAGAAACTTATGTTCTAGTTTGTAGCCGGGATAGTGCAGGTATGATGTGTCGGCCGGGCAAGATATTTGCGTCTCCGTGAGGAATAGTAAGGTCAAGCTGCGCAGTCTCCAGATGGTGATGGACTGCGCTGAGTACATACATAAAGTACATTAATTTATTTGGTTCTTGGTTTCGTCGTAAAGGGCTCGAATTTTAATCAGGAATGTAATGTACGAAATTGCAAAACAGAAAATTTGAAGTCTGCTGAGTGACCTTGACCTCCAAAATTGATTTTATATGTAAAATAAAATGTACAACTTTTTCGGTTACTCAAAGAATGACGCCAATATTTCATTTTATGAATATAGATAATATAATAATATGTTTCAATTATATCCATTTATAAAGTACCCTGAAGCTCTCTTTGATCTCTTAAAGTTATAAAAATAACAGCAAAAAGCGACGTTGATAAAATTGCTTCAATGCTACGCAAAAGGAAGCTAAGCCAAAATAATACATTGAACTTTGAATATTAGCAAAAAAAAAAAAACTAATAGTTTACAATTTTATTTTACGATGTGCTTGTGCTAGTAGCGTTGCTTGTAAATATCATGTCACTACAAGTAAACATACATCAATCAACACACATATTTTTCCTCACCTAATCAGGCCACGTATACACTATAGACCCTCTTGTCCATATAGTTCATAATTTGACCTATACATACGTTCGTACGTTCGTAGCTTGAAAAGCCGCTTTGTATTTTAGGAGTAAATTTAGTTCGGTATGATTTTCATGGCAAATGGATTGGATGGATTTCTATGATTAGAAAAAGCACTTTGGACGGTGCACTTACAATTGAGCTTATGATTATAGCAGGTTTTTGAAAATTCTAAAAGCTTATGGAAGTTTATTGATACATTTGCTATAGACATCATGGGGAAGTTTAAAAGAGTAATTTCACCACCTCATCGTAGTTGAATGATTTTTCCTTACAAAAGAAGAAATCCAAATTCTGAACAAATTAGAAATCAGTTCGAGCAGGGTCTTATGTTCTTGTAAATAGAAACAGTTACGTGAAAAAGCGTTGCCGTAATGAAGAAGTCGACTAGAGCTATTGACATGTCTTCGATGTCGCTCTTCATGTTTGACATATAATTTTGTACATCATAATTTAAAATTCTTTGTCTTGATTGTCATAAAAGATCCACTTTCCATCACAAGTGCCAATCTGATTCTGAATCCCGTCAATTAAGTGGCATATTCAAAAGTTAGGCAAGCGTCGCCTCAATTTTGTTGTTGTCTCTTAGTCTTATACGGTACTCACTTTTCGAGATCTTTATGTTTTCAATTTGACACTAATGAATCATTATCGTTTTATCATTTACATTGTAGTTTATCTACTGTTAACTTATGCGTGGTTTGGTGGTTTGCTTCTACTATAGATTTTGAATTATTCTTTATTGAGTTTTGTCTCAGATGGGTCGCAGGGCTCATTGTAGAGATTAAATTTTTATTAATTGATGCTATTAAATAAAACTATCGTTTCAGATTTTAATGGGTGACTCACGTGACCATGATTGCTGTAAAGGATTCGAAATATCGGGAAACAAAAATCAAAATAAATCCGCAAAAAAATCCTTAATGCTATTATATTTAAAACATAACGTTTCGGGTACCGAGTTTCGTTTATATTGTGGGTCGTTCATGTCTTTTTCGAAAATAACGCAAAATTTTCTCTAAAATAAGATAACTCTAGCACACATGGCATTCAAATTTTCAATGTGTTCTAGTAGTATAGTCATATGGTGCTCAAAATAGGTTACCTGGAAAGTTTTCCAGAAGTTTAAAAATTGTTAATTTTATAGATTTTGGCGTATTCTTTCCGAATATCTACTTTGCCACCTCGTCTACCATCACCAACTTTGCCGTTCGCGCCGCTCTATTGGAAAAATGGCGTCTAAAAACAGTTTTTTGACAATATCTCCTTTCCCACTCATTTTACGATAAAAATAGTTACGTAATAAATTAGACCAGAGAATATGTTTTATAATTTATGACAAATTTTTATTGTAAAATGAATAATTTTAGCGTACGAACGCTTCAAAGTCGAATCAACACGCGACAAAGAACACATCTATAAAATCATCAATTTTCAAAACTCCCGGTAAACTTTCCAGGTAAAACTACTAAATAACGGTGCCTACTATAGGATTATATTCTTATATGTACATAGAAACGTTTGCATCTAAAAACATTGCATTCGTACATCATATGTATATTAAGCCATTACCAAAGCTCGTTACACCGTGTATTAAAATCGGTTAAGAGGGCATCCATTAATTACGAGAGCTGATTTTCTTTTAAACTCCCCCCTTCCTCTCTCACTTTGGTAAGATTTGGTTGGATCCTCCCTCCCCCACACGTGAGATTTACGTAACATTTTTTTAAAAGACTACATTTATAAAGCATATAAATAATACAAGGTTTAGGTACGTTTGAAATACCTAAATCATGAGATTTTTTGAGTGGACAAATTGGGACCCAAACTAATGCGACAAAATGGCATTTTTTATCTGTATAACAATAGTATTGTGAATATATAATTACCACAACATACATTTATAAATATCTACATATTATATACTTACACCTATTCATGTATGTACGGCGCGTTTATGCATTCTAGCATGGGGATAATTATACCGACCTACAACGTACATATATTAAAAAAATCATATATTTTACTAAGTTTAAAACTATGGCACAGCATTTCAGTCTTAATAACAAGTCTTTAGTTTCTTTTAGACGTGTTATAAATATTGTTAATGATGTTCTACTTATCTCATAATCACGGCAAATTTGACGAAGCAATTTGTTTTCATTCAGGAAACCAGCCGCACGCTGCTTTAACTTCACGGACCGTAGTTTTACCGTAGGTACCATCGATCGTACTTCGTTCGTAGTTGCGTTAGAACCTTAATTAGTTTTTCTTCGTAATGCCGCATTCTGAAAAGATAAATAAATACCAAATTTAATTCATTGACTATATGGGGCTAAAAAGTTCACATGGACCTTTTTACCCAAACGAGCCACGAGCTGAGGAGTTGAGGTTATGCATAAAAATCTATGCTATACATTAAAAAAAACAATTGTTGTAAGTAAAACCTTATGTTATAAGCTATATGTATATATATATATATATATATATATATATAGCTATATAATTAATATATATATATATATATATATATATATATATATATATATATATATATTGATTTGTAGTACGTTTAAAATCCTTTAAAAAAGTATAAAAATAAATATTCGTGAGCCTGTAACTTTGTTGTTATTGATGATATGAAAAAGTTGACAAATACTTTTTTATAGGATTTTAAACGTACTACAAATTTGCCATTTAACATTTTTCTCTAACTCTTACAGTTTAGCTAAAAAATGCAAAAAACCGTAAATTTGAACTTCAAAGCCATCTAACAAATCAAA